GTGTGTGTGTGTGTGTGTGCGTGAGTGTGTGTGTGTGTGTGTGTGCGTGCTTTAGAAGTAGTTTTTAGTACTTTTTTATTTTAATTTTAGTTGTTTTTTTTCAGTATGAAATTGTAACCTAACATAATTTTGGATGCTATTAATCACGATTAATGGTTCGACAGCACTACTCTGAACAGAAGACGAGTATAAAGCGGTAATGTTTGTGTGACCTCGGCACTGGCGCCGCGGTCCGGCCGCTCTGAAGCCCGGAGAGCAGTCGCAGCGGTACGAGCCGTCTGTGTTCACGCACACGCTCTGCGGCCCGCACAGCTGAGGACTCACACATTCATCAATGTCTGAGGGGAAAACAGACAGCACGGGTTAGCAGGGACAGCACACAAACATACACGCTGGGCATTTATTCATTTAATATTTGCCTGACAACACAGGTTTAGTCTGACATGCATATCGTACTTTATCACTTTATCTTCTGCCTTGTCGCTCCCTTATTATGTCAATCAAGCTTTTTGCACCAACAATAGACATAATTTAGTTTTCATGACATTTTACGCCCTCTCTCTGAATCTCTGAATCTAACAGGCTGATTTTTGCTATACTGTGCCTTTAAGACGTTTATATAAACACCTATGGAGGATTTTGAATTCCTTATTAATAAATTATTTTTCATTAAAAGTGTCAATATATAAATAAATGTCAGTAAATGAATAAATCAAGAAATGTGTCAATAATTAAATTCATGTCAACAAATTTTTTTTTTAAATGCGTCAGTAACAAATGCTTTTAAAAAATCATGAAATGTATCAGTAAAGTAAATGCATGTTTTACAAAAATAAATTCTAAAATGTCAATACAATTTAAAAAATAAATAATAATTATCAATAAATACGTTAAATAAATATATGCTTTAAAATAAATAAATAATGAAATGTCAATAACATTAATAATTATGTTTTTTTAAATATGAAATGTATCAGTAATACTGTAAATAGGTATCAGTAAATACTGAAATATTGTCAATGTCAAATAAATGTTTATAAAACATAAATATCTGTCAATAAAATAAAAGGTTTAAAAAATAAATTAATAAAATGAAACGTCAATAAAACAAATGTTTTAAAAATAAATAAATAATGAAATGTGTTAGTACAATGTTTTTTTTTAAAGCATGAAATGTGTAAATAAAATGAATAAATATGTTTAAAAAATAAATTAATCATGAAATGTATCAATAAATACTGTAAATATGCATCAATAAATAATGAAATACTGTCAACATCAAATAAGTGTTTATAAAATAAAAAAATAATGAAATCTGTCAATAAAATAAATACTAAATAAATAAATAATGAAATGTTGATAAAATTTATAAATATTTATTTAAAAATACCTTTATTATGCATCTACCACAGTAAACTAGCATAAAACTAGTATTTAGCATGAAAATGAATAATGAAATGTGTTTTTCAGTAAACAAATAAACATAAAATGTGTTAATAAATAAACTGATCATGAAACACTGAAAATACTGAAATTTCAATGTCAAAAAAGAAATGTTTTTTAAAAAGCATTAATGTGTCAATAAAATATGTTTTATAAATAAATAAATCATGAAATGTCAATAAATACTGTCAATATCAATACCAAATAAATACATGTTTGTAAAAAATTAAACCACGAAACATGTCAAAAATGTATATTTTAAACGTAACCATGATATATCGTAATAAAATTAGTAAATACGTTTTAAAAATGACATGAAATGAGTAATAACATTCATGAACAATTTTTTAAAAATGACATAAATCAATAAACTGCAATTTATGCTGTTGTTTATTTACTGACACATTTCATTATCAGTTATTTATTAACACATTTTATGTGTTGACTCGTTTATTGAAAAACATATGATTTATTTTTATTGGCATGCTAGTTTTATGCTAGTTTACTGTAGTAGATGCAGTATAAAGTTTATTATAATGATATCGATAAGTGACCCTGCAGCACAAAAGCAGTCTTAAGTCGCTGGGGTATATTTGTAGCAATAGCCAACAATATATTGTATGGGTCAAAATTATACATTTCTATTTATGCCAAAAATCATTAGGATATTAAGTAAAGATCATGTTCCATGAAGATATTTTGTAAATTTCCTACCGTAAATATATCAAAACTTAATTTTTGATTAGTAATATGCATTGCTAAGAACTTCATTTGGACAACTTTAAAGATGATTTTCTCAATATTTAGATTTTTTTGCACCCTCAGATTCCAGGTTTTCAAATAGTTGTATCTCGGCCAAATATTGTCCTATCATAACAAACCATACATCAATGGAGAGCTTATTTATCCAGCTTTCAGATGATGCATAAATCTCAATTTCAAAAAATGGACCCTTATGACTGGTTTTGTGCTCCAGGGTCACATATAGTTCTGAAGGTGACGGGTTTTGGGTTCCTGCACTACATCCTTTATTCTGTGGAGTCGCCAGCAGAGCAGCTGCACTCAGAGAACTTCAAGAGGACTTGAGAGTGTGCACAGTAAGTGTGCTTAAGCTGGTCTGACCTGAGCAGCGTCCGTTCTGCATGCTGTGTCCGTCTCTGCAGGGAACGCACTTGTACGAGCCCGGAGAGTTGAGGCACTGCTGCCCTGGACACTGCAGCGCATCCAGACACTCGTCGAGATCTAACACACAGACAGACAAGAACCACGTCAGATCCGGTGAAAAAATGATGTGATGCTACCAAAGTGTTGTTTTAGTATCACTGATATACTGTTAGAGTTAGATTTTACTTTTGCATTTTCTGTTTTCGGTTAAAGTTTTAGTGATTTCGTTTTGTGTATGTTTTTAATATATGTCACTTTTATTAATATTTATTTATTACTTTTTTGTTATTTTAGTACTTCAAGTTACAGTAAACAAAAATGATAAATGTGTCTTTGGTAATTAACTGAAATAAAATAATTTTTATCATTAATTTAAATATTTTTTTCTATTTCAGTTAACATTTATTATAGTTTTTGTTAATAATTTGAATTAGATTCTAATTTATTTTTATATTTTCTGCTTTTTTTTTTTGTTTAGTAATTATTAAGTAAAGATCATGTTCCATGAAGATATTTTGTAAATTTCCTACCGTAAATATATCAAAACTTAATTTTTGATTAGTAATATGCATTGCTAAGAACTTCATTTGGACAACTTTAAAGATGATTTTCTCAATATTTAGATTTTTTTGCACCCTCAGATTCCAGGTTTTCAAATAGTTGTATCTCGGCCAAATATTGTCCTATCATAACAAACCATACATCAATGGAGAGCTTATTTATCCAGCTTTCAGATGATGCATAAATCTCAATTTCAAAAAATGGACCCTTATGACTGGTTTTGTGCTCCAGGGTCACATATAGTTCTGAAGGTGACGGGTTTTGGGTTCCTGCACTACATCCTTTATTCTGTGGAGTCGCCAGCAGAGCAGCTGCACTCAGAGAACTTCAAGAGGACTTGAGAGTGTGCACAGTAAGTGTGCTTAAGCTGGTCTGACCTGAGCAGCGTCCGTTCTGCATGCTGTGTCCGTCTCTGCAGGGAACGCACTTGTACGAGCCCGGAGAGTTGAGGCACTGCTGCCCTGGACACTGCAGCGCATCCAGACACTCGTCGAGATCTAACACACAGACAGACAAGAACCACGTCAGATCCGGTGAAAAAATGATGTGATGCTACCAAAGTGTTGTTTTAGTATCACTGATATACTGTTAGAGTTAGATTTTACTTTTGCATTTTCTGTTTTCGGTTAAAGTTTTAGTGATTTCGTTTTGTGTATGTTTTTAATATATGTCACTTTTATTAATATTTATTTATTACTTTTTTGTTATTTTAGTACTTCAAGTTACAGTAAACAAAAATGATAAATGTGTCTTTGGTAATTAACTGAAATAAAATAATTTTTATCATTAATTTAAATATTTTTTTCTATTTCAGTTAACATTTATTATAGTTTTTGTTAATAATTTGAATTAGATTCTAATTTATTTTTATATTTTCTGCTTTTTTTTTTTGTTTAGTAATTTTGTTGTGTATTTTTGTATTTTTTGTGATTTTTATCAGTTTTTATTTTTCCCCCCAATATGTCTATATAGTTTTTATTAATTTTTATTTGTTAGTTTTAATTGATTTAGTTTTAGTTAGTTTAGTATGTCGTTACACTAAACAAAACTGAGAAATGTTGGCTGAAATAAAATAAGTTTAAAAATATTTTTTCAGTTAGCATTTATTTTAATTCAAGCGGTGTTATTTTAGTATCATTGAAATACAGTTTTTGTAAATATTTTGAATTACATATTTTTGTATTTTCTGTTTTCACTTTAATTTTGGCTAAGATTTTGTTGTGTTTTATATGTTTATTAGTTTTTTTAAACATCTATATAGTATTTATTCATTTTTATTTATTAGTTTTAGTTTATTTATTTTCAGTTAGTTTAGTACTTACACATTACACTAAATGAAAATGAGAAATGTTGCCTTTGGTAACTAGCTAAAATACAATATTTTTATTTACTTTTTATTTCAGTTAAAATTTATTTTTGATGAACTATCACATTTTATTATTGATAAATTTAAAATATGTTACAGTTTTTGTTAATATTTAGATTTTTTTTTTATATTTTCTGTTTTCATTTTAATTTTAGTGATTTTAATTCCTTAACTAGCTGAAATAATAATATAATTTATTTGTATTTAACTTTTATTTCAAGCAACTTTTTTCAGTTTTAGTTAACTATAATACACCTGGATTCAATTAACAAAATTATTTATGTATGTATGTATGTATGTATGTATGTGCTCTCTTACCCGTGCATGTGCCGTCCTGTAGATTGAAGCCCAGATCACACACACATCTGAAGCTGCCGGGAGTGTTCATGCATTGGCCATTAGTGCAGCGTGTGGGCTTTTGCCTACATTCATCTATATCTAAAACACACACAGGAGAGACAGCACACATTCAAAACTCCCATACAATATTCACATCTGTATCATTATAAAAGAAATCGACAGTGAATGGATTGCTCTACAGAATGACATGCTGCAGTACACATATTTTCTTTTATCATCTCATAACTCTGTATTATGTGTCTATATGGTCATTAGTGTAACGCACTGTGGTCAACTTCAAATGTGCAATAGACATAACTATTAAATGACTGATTGATAACTGTGACTTTGTGTCTCATAATTGCATTAAAAACTAAAAAAGAAAGAAATGATCACTTTTCTTTGATCATATTCTCAACCTGGTCTCATGGCAAAAACGTACCCGGGGGCACATTTTCACGAGATGCGAAATACATACCAATAAGTACATATCACTGCAGTTTCCAAAAGAAATGAACACTAGAGGCAGTAAAACTCCGACACCTTTTATTCCTTTTCACACACATTTACAGAGTTTCGATTAAAGCAGCGTAATTTTCGCACAATTACTTGAAGAATATCATGTTTGTGTTTTTATATCAGTTTTGCATTTGTTAACACTATCGGGTAGGTTTAGGGTTGGGTTTGGTGTAGGGCATATTTCCAACACGATAGAGCATTAACTTTTAGCGACAGTCCCCGGATATTTGAATTCTGAACAGCCGCAATACGTACCTAAAGAAACTTAATAAAAACACCGCAATACGTACCTGAATAAACTTAATAAAAACACCGCAATACGTACCTATATCAATGTAATAAAAACGTGCCAGGGTTCACGTATTGAACCCGTGTTTTAGCGCCACTCAGTGGACATTTCTCTTTGAAACTGCGGCGAAACGTGCAGTAAGGTACGTAAAAACGGTGTTGCAGAAAAGTACCAAGAGGTAAGTATTTTTATGAGACTGGGTTGCATATTCTACATTTAATCTAATCAAATCAATGTTATGTGTCAACTGCAGTGATACCTTGGCATTGGCCCTCAAGAAGCTCGAAGCCCGGCTGACAGGAGACACACCTGAAGGAGCCGACAGAGTTCACACACTCTTTCCCTGGACACTGAAGCTCGTTTTCACACTCGTTCACATCTGGAACAGGATAAGAAACAGACTCGAACCATTTATGCTTCGCTGGTGAAACCGCTTGTGAAAAAGATACTTCAAATTTTAAGTATACATTAAAAAAAACTGTACTTGCAGATAATATAATATTACTAAAATAAAAGACCACTTAAAGAGAGACACATGTGTCTTAACACACTTAAGTAGATTTTAAAAAATGCACTAGTAATAAATAATAATAATAAAACCTTTGCTGTGTTTTACGGAAGTACACTTTGATGTGTTGACTAACATACTAAAGCACATAAAGTACTTTAAATGTTATAAGTTGCACTATTACAAAACGTGTAAATGTTACAAATGTGTAAAATATATTTAAACACATGACATACAAGTTTCAAATGAAATGCATTAAAGTGCATTTTAATAACTTCAGCAGTAACTTTAACCATATTTCAAAGACAATATAATTATGAAATTGCATGCACTTAAGTGGCTCAAAAAGCACTCTTAAGTTTAACTAATTGCATTTAGTATTAAATGAAACTATAATGCATTTTCATTTAATTGTAAATAACATGCAGTGAAGTGTTTGAAAACATTGCGTTCAGTTCACACTTAAATATATTCTTATAAAGTACATTATTTCCATAATAAGCGCTCTTTTTAAAAGTATGCATTAGTGCGCTTCTTTTTCACATGTTGAGATTGAGAAGGTTCTGACGGTTTGGTCACCTTTGCAGATGTTTCTCTCCAGTCTGAATCCAGCGCGACACACACAGCTGTAGCTGCCCATGTTATTCTCACAGCGGCCGTTAACACACAAGTCAGGAGTCTGGCGACACTCGTCGATATCTGAGACACAGAAACTACAATAGGCTTCAGGCTTTCTCTGCTGGAAAATCCAGCAAAAACCAGATTCAGATAATCTTCAGCTGTCTGAAGCTGGGCATGAAGTGGTCTGAACTGGTTTAGGTGGTTGATCAACTGGATTTCCAGCTGTTGTGGCTGAAGTCAAACTGCTAGACCGTCTTGGTCAGAACTTTTTACTTGATTTATTTCTTTCTGAAAAAAAGTGCAATGACTGTTATTTACTTACCTTTCTACTGCAGAAATGATTTTTGGATTTGTATAAATTTTTCCCTTTTTTTTTTTGGTATATAACTATGGAAGTCCGTTTCCACTACTGAATAAATGAATAAATAAATATATAAATGCATACATACAGAAAAAGTCATTGCGACTTTTTATCTCACAATTGACTTTTTTCTCGCAATTGCATGATATAAACTCACAATTTTCTTGCAATTATTAAGTATTAAGTTCTTTATAATAACTAATATTTTTACTTTGTATGAGTTGTACATAACTCGTGTTTTTGCCTTTGAAAAAAATATATATACATATACAGTATAT